CCAGTACTGGGAAACACCCATACACTCATACATTACAACCACAATAGTTCATCCAATTTCACCTATAGTGCATGTCCTTGGACTGTGGAGGAAACTGGAGCATCCGGAGGAAACTCACACCAACATGGGGAGAACATGCAAACTTCACACAGAAATACCAACTGGCCTAGCCGTGACTCAAACCAGTGGCCTTCCTGCTGTGAGGCAACAGTGCTAACCCCTGCGCTTTTTGCTAAGCACTGGATTATTTAAAAATAATCTTCAACTATATATAAATAATGCAATTTATATTAATCTATTTGCACAAAATATAATTTAAGCTTACAAATATGCATATATTACTGTATATTATAATTTTTCCAGAGCTGCTGTTTGGCAGATTAGGTTTGTTGGTGACAAGTTAAGCCTGGACCTGATTTTAAAAATCCTGTCAATATTTTTCATTTTGATAAACAAAACAGTTAATGATCAAGGTCTCCTGCATAACCCTTATTAACCCTCTCTTTAATCAAAACACTTTCTATTTTTATCCTTCAATCTAATAAGAAAACTAATTATCCTGGTCTGGTATGCTCATTTGTTTTGATAGGAAAGCAGACAGGCATCAGCATGCCTAAAACACACACACACAGATACACACACACACACACACACGCACTTACAGTCATTTCTCTAGGGGTGGAAATTCCCAGTTTAACACTGAGTCAATAAGATTACATATTAAGGACTGTCCCACTATTCAGAGTTCATCCGTCACTAACGGTTCAATAAAACACAACACCAAACCAACATGCTGAAACACCTGATGACCTTTGAGTGTTATTTAGGCCAAACAGGCTTTTGAAAGCTATAAGTTTGACCATTTAACAGGCACATGCACACATAGGGCTCAACCTGTACAGTGCACATGCCCTTTTTAGTTTTGGATAGAAAGTGCCCTTCCAAAATGATCTGAAGTGCCCCAGCGACAACCACACCTCTCTTCTGCACACCTCAGTTGTAATGAGTGGTTATTGGAGTTATTGTTGCCTATCAATTTAATTTACTATTTTTTTATTCTAAGTTTGCGTTAACGTGCAGTTGTACCTAATAAAGTGGCCAGTGAATGTATATTGTAATATGAATATAATTTCCTGTGGCGATTTGAAAGGCTCTATTTGGAAAGACTTTTTCTATCCACTGCCTCTTCACATCGGTCACATCCATAACGCAGAGATGCCACATCCATAATGAACATTCTTCCTTATAAATGCAAAAATATGAATTAAAATAAAATCTGTCATGTTTGTTCTACAGTGAGCCAACTCTTATCCTGTTAATTAGCATTTTTTGGGGGGTTGTGCAGTTTAATTCACAGAATTTCTACAAAGTATGTTATATATTGCAAACTCGCAGACTTTTTTAGTCACATCAATAACACATGTTTATTTTCTTTATTTAAAATATTAATATGTTTAAAGATTTATATTTTTCTAATCTTATAACCCTGTGGTTAGTAGCTTTGGAAAATATCAACAGATGTTTTAATATAATGTTAACTTAAACTTTCTATGTGAATTTGTGTTTTGAGTTTTTACTGCAAATGTCACATCCATAACACTGGTATTGCTCAAATATGTTATGGTTATGAGATTATTTTTACTGCTGAACACAAACACAAAGATTTTTTGAAGAATATTAGAAAAAAGTTTGATGAATGTTAGAGACTTTTAATTGACTTCCATACTAGTAAAAACAAATATTATGGAAGTCATTGGTTACTGGTTTCAAGTTTTTAAAATATATTTGGTGTATATATATATATATATATATATATATATATATATATATATATATATATATATATATATATATATATATTCTTCTTTTAAGTTCAACAGATGAAAAAAAAAAACTAAAACAGGTTTGTGATTGACGAAGGGTGAGTGAATGTCAAATTTTCAGTTTTGTGTGGACTATCCCTTTAAATTATTATGTTATTATAAAAGGTAAAGGTGTTCCTGAGTTTAATGAAGCACAAATAAACATTTTACTTATTAAGGCTACATTTATTTATTTTTAATAATATACTTACGTGATAAGAATTTAAGTTTAATAAACTACAGTGACTTGAATCTAAATGAAATTTTAGCACTAAGTTAATTAATCAAAATCATTAAACACGAGCACTTGTGCTCATTGAGAAAATGCTAGTATGATTTAATGGTAATTTAATATACTAAAACATTTTTATTAATCGGTTGATGTTTGTGTTACGTCACGATCACAAAATTGTGTGTGTATTTTGCCTAAATAAACTAACGTTAAACGGCCTATATCTGACCAATAAACAAAACTAACAAAATCTACCTTTATCCAGCGCTTTTTCGGCCTCCAACGGTTTAACTTCAAGTGCATTGCTGAATCGAAAAACGTTTTATTCCTCCTCCTTCGTTAGCCATTTTACACGATAAATCCTCTAATAAACCAACTGTTGATTTGATTCAGGTATGCTCGAAGTCAACAGGAGGACGCCATTACCGGCCGCTACTTTCACAATGACGTCACTTCAATTGTAGTCTCTGTGTAATTTCTGAGGGTACATTTACACTAAAAAAGTATTTTTAATTTGCTCATTCGACGTGCATGACGACAACATTGTTAATACGATCACCATTTTACGAGATTTCACAAAAATGATACGAAAAACACTGCAAAACGCCTGTCATACGCATGAGGTCATTTTTTAGACATGTATGTTGATGTAGCTTACACACATAACACACACATTTTAATTATTCATTCATCATTCATTTTCTTGTCGGCTTAGTCCCTTTATTAATCTGGGGTCGCCACAGCGGAATGAACTGCCAACTTATCCAGCAAGTTTTTTACGCAGCGGATGCCCTTCCAGCCGCAACCCATCTCTGGGAAACATCCACACACACACACACACTCATACACTACAGACAATTTAGCCTACCCAATTCACCTGTACCACATGTCTTTGGACTGTGGGGGAAACCGGAACACCGGGAGGAAACCCACGCGAAGGCAGGGAGAACATGCAAACTCCACACAGAAACGCCAACAATTGTAATTATTATAATTTGAATAATGAAGCTTTTGTTATTAACCTATTTATTTTGTTAATTAAGTGTTATATTCATAAGTGTACATTTTCCAACAAAAAACCTGTTTTACTGTGTTTTATAAGAAACTGAAAAATTACTTTTGCACTGCAGCATAGTGCTAATGGAAAGGCCATTAAAACTGTCCAACTTTGTTCTAGTTTCAATATTTTTGATTAATGTTAAGGTCCTGCTTATTCATATTTGTAAGAATTTTAGTTAAGTATTAATACTCTTGTTTTTATGTTTGTTTTATTTTATTTTTTTAATTTTATGTATTGATGCTATAATTTACTTTCTATCGCCCTGGCATTGTTGTGTTTACTATATTGTCATGTATGTTTTTAAAGCATAATAATAATAAAAAATAAATAAATACACAAAAATGTATTTTGTTTTATTTATATAGATATAATAGCTATATATAATAGCTATATATATATAATTGCTATATATAGCAACTTTTCTTCTAAAATAAGCATTTTTCTGCAACTCCTGTGTGTAGGCTCAGTAATTTTACATTTATAGTGACGGATAAGTTCTTTTCATTGCCTTTGAAGAGAAATAAAAAGAGAATTTTTCTCAGCCTTCTATAAATACATTAAATAACTTTCAGATACCACTGAGTACACATGGGAAAAGAAAGCTCAAGACACCTTCCAATGGTTATGTGCATAAAATAGCTTTATTTTCAACAGATCAAACCTCCATGCAGAAATCAATGATTCATTGACTTCAACATTGGATCAGTGATTTTTTTTTCTTTTTAATCTGGATGTGACCAAACAAAGCAGCAGAATTTCTCTCTCATTTATGCCATGCTAATGCACAGCTCATTCACGATCCCCTTAACTAATCCAGAACATCCTTCTACAAAACATAAATAGATTCAGCTTAAAAAGTCTAAACGAAATAGAAACTCTTAAAAACAAATCTGTCGAAAGACTAACAGCCTTTGCATTTTTTTGCACTACTGTATATAAAACAAATCTAAAAAATAAAACAAAAAAAATAAAATAAAATAATTATCACATATACAACAGCTGAGATGGGGGAGAAAGACCCCCCGACCTGAAGGCAGGCAATAAAATATGACAGTTAAATTAATACCAAAAAAAAAAAGAATTAAGGACATCTACAAAAACACTGAGAAAAAAAATAGTTAGTACTAGCATTGGTCATCGTTCTCCAACAAAACATTTCCATAATGTTTCCAAAAGATAAAGATGCAAAGCATCTGCGTTTCACGTACAGCTTTTACAGCAAAAGCGAATACCGGGATGAGATATAGGAACAGTAAAAACTGATTTTGGCATTTAAATATTTGGTAAATAAAAGGCTGTCAAGAAATGGCTAAGTACCAAAGTTTTACATTTTATTCAATGGCTATATACAGATCCCTGGATGCACAAAGTCTGTTTGCAGTGAACTGATTCTCAAATCAACAACATCTGTACCTGTTAAAGTAGCTTAGGTGACCGTAGTGGATCTATTCTCCCATATAAAACCACCACAGCAATGACATACAGACATGCGGAATGTACCATAACACCATGCTTGAAATGAGCGTACGTTAAAATCTAGTACAATGACTTCAGGTTCTCAATTTAGTTGCGTACACATACTGCATGCCCTCAATTTGGTTTCACCTCTGATGTTTTTAATATGCAAATTAAAATAATGTTTTACAGCACACAGATTTTAAAACAAAGACATCTGTTGATAACGTGAAAGGCTACAGTAACCACCTCCACTGTAGCACCAATCGTGACACGGACTGTTCATTTAACGGGTGGTTGAAACGGTAAATCCACAGCCTTTAATCTGTGAAGGCTCCATTGCACCATTTAGTGTTTTGTGAAAAAAAAAAGAAAAAAAAATTGGACACAACGAGCCACGTGATTAAAGGCAATAAACTTGAAGGGTGTGAGAGCATGAAGACACCAACATCTTCTGAATGGAGCGGTTTGGCAACAGACGCTTATCCCTCCGAGTCACTTTAATGTTTGGATGTAAATGTCCAGTCAGAGTGAAGTTTTGGTGTGAGGTCCTCCTGCGGTTTTGGTGGTACGTGAGAGGTTGGCGGCGGCAGTCCAGCCGAGGCACTGTGTGAGCTTATAGTTCGAAGATAGAGAGAAGGTATGCAAGGGTGCGGATGCTCATGCGTAGATTTCTGTGGTTGGAGCTTTTTTGTAGATGGGCGTCTTTCCCAGGTCGTAACTTCCTTCGTCTTTCTTCTTGATGCGGAGAACGAAGTGAACGAGGAGGATGATGAGGAGGATGGCGAAAACCAGGCCAACTGCTCCGCCCGCAATAACAGCTGGAAAACAAAAGTAGAAAAGGACTATGTTAACATTGCATTCAGTAATCGAATTACTTGCCTTACTCTAAATAAGACAGTAATATGATTAAGGTGTTTACATGAGTTGCTTTTTGAATGTTCCTTTCATGATCCCATTTTACATGTTGTAATTCGATTAACAGCATTGCGTCAACACGCTATCCACATTTCCTCCGGAGTTTCATGTAATTTCGAGTGTTTCATTTTTATTTGTGCTGAGTTTGGCACTTTCACTTTCATTCAGGAACATTTTATGCATATGCCCCCACGACAAACGAGACACTGGATGAGTATGAACTGCTGGAAGAGTGTTGTTTTTAGTGAAGTTTGCTACTGCACATTGAATGGGAGAACAAAACCTCCGCATTTCACGGTTTACGTGTCTGTGGTCCATTACTGACTAGATAAGTGCAGAGAATAGTGTCAAACAGTCGTGTGTGTAAGTAATATCCTGTAGCAAAACAGAAGGAAAAGTTCTACACGCCGGAAAAAAGTTTGATTGCGGTGTTTACATGCATGTACAGCACTTTAATAATGCAAGTAAAATCGACATACTCCACATGTCTTAATCCAATTTCTGTTTAGTCCGATTATGACCTTAATCGGATTAAATCTATCAAAAAAGTCTGTTTACATGGTAGACTCTTAATCAGAGTATTGTCTTAATCGTATTAAAATCAGATTATTGGTGTCAATGTAAACGTACTTAATGTGCGAGATGCATAATATAAGGGCACATACAGGTTTGATGTTAATTTTAAAATATGAAACTGAAGTTATGCTAAAATTAAATTCAAAAGCGCATTTGAAGCTAAACTTACATTCGAATTTACAAATCTCACATTCAATTTCAACCAAATAACTACAGTGTGTAGCTGTGGCTTATTTTATATCCAAAGAAAAGAAAGATCTTCAAAGATGCCTTTTCAAGTTGTAAAAATAATCAGTGTTTTTAAAACAAATAAAGACAGAAGAGGTCAACGATTTTGTTTTATTTATCTATCCTGACATGTCTGCTGCTCCAAAATATTTGAAATGTTTCTTAAAATAAAATTAATTGTGCTCATTGAGGGGGAAGAAGTTGTCGTTTTTAACTGAGACATTAAAAAAAGAATGTATTTCAGAGCAGGAATTCGTGATCGTGACCCTTTTCACAAGCCTGTTATGATGTGTTTAATGGTCAACATAATCTTAAACCTTTAAAGTTTTTAATATTTCGATTTATTTTATTTGTGTGAACATTTATATGCATTTAAGAATGTATTATCATATTTGTGTCAAATTACAAAGAACAAATTACAGCTTATGAGAGGTGTTTCTAATGCAGCATCTAAGGGGCTGAGAGTAAATTTGCCGTTATTCTCTCCTCTGGCTGCCGTTTGTTGTACTCTCAGATTCACTGTGCTCTAAATTTACCCATCTATGACACCTTCCGCTACCGAGAAACCCAACAATGTAAAAGGGTCTATACCGTGAAACTCTGATATTTTTATCCAAGGTTATTATACTGTCTGAATCCTATATAAACTAATAAACCGACAAATGCATAGGGTTCTTCAAAGTTAAACTATATATACACACACACACACACACATTTTAAAAAAGGTGAAATTAAAACAATATTTAATAAATAGTCATTACAAATATAAAAAAATTATTAAGTTGAACATGAACATAATAAAACAAGAATTTTGGTCTAAAAGGTTTATCTCAAGACTTGTATTCATAAATGATTTCTTCTTTCCCCTTTAACATATTAACATTACCATTCTTTTTTTTTTCTCCGTCCGCTTGGTTTAGGTCAGTGGTTCTCAAACTGTGGTACACGGGCTTCCTTCTAGTGGTACGCGGAGGAATGAAATATGTAATATGTACATGCTACATATTTCAAAATTGATCAAAAATGATATATATATATATGAATGCGACACATAATAATATTCATTATATGACATCTAGCCTATATTTCGGAGGTCCAGGCAACATTTTCAGCTGTTGATTAATTGCTACTAAATGTTAATACTTTATTTAAGTCCAGCACTTTTCTTTTTTTACCTTTCACACATTTTAATTCAAATGTTGACTTTTTAGTTTGTTTGTTTTAATACATATAAGCACAGTACAGTGTTAACGTTCAGACTTTTTATGTTTAAAGTGGCTGACAATAATATATATTCTTAATAATAGGAATTAATCTGCCATGTTTTTGAACTGTGCAAAACTGTAGCTGCTTTACTGGGCATACTACGCTACTGTATTTCAATACTGCTCATTGTGGTGGTACTTGGAGAGACTATTTTTATCTGAGGTGGTACTTCAAGGACCACTGGTTTAGGTTGATTTACTGAATCATCATGTGACTCCAAAAAAATCAAAGTAGACCGAAATGTTTGCATTCTTCTCTCTCTCTCTCTCTCTCTCTCTCTCTCTCTCTCTTTTGTGCCTTTTTGATTTCTTGATTTTTGAGTGTGTAGACTTTCTTCAGAAATATTGAACATTGAAATTAAAGAATCACCATTCCAAACATAAGCTGTTAATAACAGTGTGTCCTCACCTGCAAGCACTTCTGTGTTGTTGAACAAGCTATCATCTCCAGCGTGAGTCATGAGCACATTGCTGTGATTGTCCAAGTCTTGGTTTGGTGCTCCACGCAAGAAAACTTCATTGTTTTGAACCAGAATATTCTCATCGACAGTTGGCCTTGGAGCAAATGGACCCTTATCATCAGGGATCTGGTTATTCACAAATTCATCCTGACAAAAAAAAAGTTCCAAAATTAATATTAACATCAAACTGGTTGCCAATCAAAACAAACAAACAAAAACAAAAGCCTGTGGACAGCCAATCAGTGTTTAAACTTTTGGAATTGGTCTCAGAAATTGTAAACATGTGCAAGAAAGTAATGTAACTCCAAACAGGACGTGACCACAAGTAATGACTTGTGGATCAGTGAGTGAGTCAAGCTTGAATGAGTCACATTGTCTTAGTCAATTTGAGCTTCAAAGAATCACACATCAGATGACCCTAGTTAAACAGCAAATTTGTTACATGAAACCAGTGAGCGAAATGAAATACACGGATGTCTTGAATACTCATTTACTGCGACAACATTACATTTTAACTTAAATGGATGAGTTGATTTGGGGTCAACCCAAAATGAAAATTACCTCGCATTTTTCTTCTGTTGAACACAAAAGAAGATACGCTAAACAAAAGGGTTGCTGTTTGTTTAAACTACTTATTTATAACGAGTTGAAAGAATGATTACGTTTTTTAGGGGGGACAACATAGTTTTTTAGGTTCAATCCACATAAATTTGTACGAACGATTAATTTAACTTAATTTATGTTGGGACAACATGAAGGAATTACGTGGAACCCACCATTTATGCTGGAATCCATCGACGTCCATAATAATAATAAAACGTATATAAAAACTATTGAAGTATTTGTGTTCAACAAGAAATTAAGTTTTGAACAAGTGAAAGATGAGTAAATGATGGTAAAACTTTCACTTTTGGCTGAAGTATCCATTTAAAAAAAAGAAACATTTCCTCGATAAATTAATTAATGCAGTAATAAATAGTCAATAACTACCTCAATATCATCGATCACATCTGCAAACCCAGAGCCTGACATGTCATCGTAATCGTCTTCATCATCTTCATCAAAGCCATCCTCATCGTCAGTCTGGTTTAAGTCGGTGAACTCAAAGTCTTCATTCTGTGAGTTGCCGGAGGACTCCAGGTCCTCGATGGCCGCCTTGTTTTTCAGAGGTACCCAAGTTTCAGTTTCTCGTACCTACAAAAAGAAAATGGCATCCATTAGGAATGCAGCTTAGCCATCGGTTCCAAGGCCGATCATCAAATAAATATGTACATATTCAGAACCTTGTAATGCAAATCAACGTAAACACAGTGCACTGAAGGAAAGGTCACAGCTGAGAGACACAAGAAGGACTTAAAAATACAATTTTAAACAAAACTCTTCCACTCCTAAAGACTCAATGTAAAAATATATTACTAGTTAAGCTGGATACTGTACAAACAGCTGGCATCATGGTAATTCTAAGAGCACACTTAATTTAATTAAGACACACCAATGCTTTTAATCAGGTTAGCAGAGCCATTTGGCTAAGATCTGCAAATGGGCTTTAAACAATTAATGAGCTAAGCCTATTAGCATAGGAGGAAGTAAAATTGTTTTTGTTTTGTTTATTTCTTCTCTTTGTCCCTCAATGGTCATTCATTTTCATCACTATTGCAGGACATTTCTATCCTGTTCTGAATAGTGGACAATTGTGATTCGCACATTACAGTCGAGAGTGGAGGGATTGTAATACAGTAAAGGGACCTGTGGAGGTAGAAGGCAAGTTAGCACAGGTTTGCCACTATTGTGTAAAATGACGAAAGAATTCATTGGAAAGGGGCTGAGGGTCGTTATCGGTCTCACTCGTCTGCTTTGCCAAAAACAGATTTAATCAACTCACTGAAAAGTCTCACATACCGGGAAATCAAAAACAAATCGTAATGCACAGGTGTGTACTCAAACCAGCGAACTTCGTGAAACCACCTTAGACAAAAATTCAAACACACCTCATTGACGATTTCATTTTACGATTATCTTAAAGAGAGTATTTTAAGAAGAAATGTAATGCTTAAAATGGCTGTTGATGGTGATGATGATAATAGAGAGGGTGAGGTGGGGGGTTAAAATGGAGACTGGGAGTAGGGGGTTGACTCATTTTCCAGGAAAACCAGGATCAACGCCACATGAAACTGCAAGTCAGCTCAAGCCTGCTCTGTTGTTCGAAAATAATAAAAGAAAAAGGGAGAGCGAGAAACAGAGAGCGACTGAAACCACAAGAGGGTGTGGGGAGAGAGACCGACATACTTTATGGTTTTCAGCCTTGCTGTGCTGTGAAACCCCACTCCAAAATCCCCCAGCATTATGAAATGCTCAGCTTCAGGGGAATAAAAAGAAAACTGCACACAGAAAAAGTACAGCAGTATAAGAAAGTACAGTGAATACCCACTTACTGCGAGGAGGTGGTTCAATTCAACCAATGCTTAAATTCCCATAAGCGAGCTACTTCTCAGTAACTGTATGCAAGCCACTTGAAAAAGTTTAAAGGAAGTCTCACTGACCGAACTAAAAGCTCTAGATGAAGACGTACTGCTAAAGAAAGTCCCTCAAAATCTCTCGAAAGCGATGCAGGAAAGAAATGTGTTTTAATTTCTCAGCAACAAGCAGAAAACCCCACAGCAGTATTTAAAAAAACCCAAAATGCAAAAGCTCTTAAATAAATAATAGTGTAGTTCTCTAAAATGAAACTGTCATCATTTACTCGCCCTCATGCCAACTCAAACCCATATGACTTTTTTTCCACACAAAAGGAGATGTTTATCAATGTTCATGCCAGCTTTTGTTCATACAATAGACGGAGACGGGCGCTGTCAAGCTCTAAAGAGGACAAATAGCACCATTAAAAGTACTCTGAAAACTGGTTTGAACTGAATTTTTAATTATTCATGTCGTTATCCAATTTGCACAGACGCCAAATCAATGTGACTTCAAATAGGGAATCATACAGGTTGAGTAAATGAGTAAAAGATTGATAGTAATAGTGTCTGAGAACGTCTGATATGATGATGACGCATGTCTAGAGGTGCATGCTCTAGTGCTGAGCTGTAATGCCCTGAAAAAAAAGCCAGTGTAAATTAACCAGCTTAGTAAAGCAGGCCTTTGTCAGGACTAGCAAAGCTAGGAGCAAATCCGGCCATCTGCTTACAAATGGTCTGGCATCTGTTGCAATGAGTCACAATGGGAGAGTTAAAGAGAAGATACCACAATCAGTGACTCATCCATGACTGTGGTAAACTGGAGTGATCAGGTGATTATTCAGTGTATGAGTTTAAAGGCCAACATCTGAATACCCACAGCTGTTTTGCATCTTACGTGTTACACTTTCTGTGTACGAAAAGCCATAGGGGTCAACAAATAACTGGAAATTCTGTGAATTTTCACCTATAATGTGGATAATCTGTGCCAGATTCATTGATGAGCCAAGGTAGAAATATTATCGGCCATCATCCATGGTGGTTTGAAGACTCTCCTTGTTGTCCTTTCGGGTCACAACCAATTACAACCTCAGCCGTCAACACAAACAGCTTCTGTTACTCCGACCAATCGGATTTACCCATGCATTGTGTCATCTGATCTCCTCACGAGATTCACTCCTCATCCCAGACACAGCTAACGTCCCACTTTACACACGAATGCATGTCAGGAGAATTCCTTCCACCTTCGCGGGAACTATTTATAGTTGCATTTTTCCTTCCTACACACCCAGCTGAATCTCCAGTGGAAAGACTCACCTGCCTGCTAAACGATACGTCATTGTTCAATCACACGCCACATTCTCACCCTAACACCTGTTCAAAGCATTACGGCATGCGATGGAAACAAGATTGGACTTTTCCTTTTAAATCTACAACTAAACCATATAAAAGACTATTCAACGTGACTGTCGTCAGCCTCTATTCTGTCCCGCAGGAAGTGTGATCACGCTTTCCTTCTGTCTGTTGGTGGCTTTCATTAATGAAGCTTCTCACCATAAGTCAAAGCCTGTTTAATACACAATGAGCTGGTCTGAATAGCCCATACAAGCAGTATTGTGAGGTCTGGGCCTGAAAACGTGAGATCGAGAAACTTCCTGACAACAGACCTTTCGTGACCCACTAAAACCTGGAGTTAAGGACAGGGCATTGAACAGGGCTTTAAATTGACTTGATGCATAATTTTTAGAGCCATTAATTTGAGCAAGAAATGCAAAGAACAGGAGAATATGATGCAAAGTAAGTTACAATAACACACAAATACATATACATATAAATATATATAAATAAATATAGATAATATATAATTATTATTAATATGCCAATTTGTTAATATTTTAATCTAATGAAAATTTATTTAGCTGTAATTGATGTCAGCAAGCAGAAATAGAATTTTGACACCATTTAATAAATTTTTAAGCATAATATCTCCATTTTATTAGCTCTGAATAACCAACATCAGTCGGTCTCTAATAAATCTATTGGAAGCGTGTGTCTACAAGAAAGCTATACCCCTACTATACATGACAAGACCTGCAAAAGAGCATTCTGACTGCATCTGAAAAATACAAAGACTCTGGAAAACAACTTGAAAGGTAATCCAGGATACTGGAAGCCATGTTATTAGGAGGGAAAGACCACCAACATGTGTTGCAAGGAGATCAATGAGGTGATTAGACTCTCAAGTTTTCTTTAACTCTAGAGCCGAGAAACACACAGACGGGTGTTTATTTGAAGAATGGGTATTTTTGGAGAGCACAAACATTTACACGCCAGGGAAAGACAAAAGGCTAGATGGAAAAGCTATTGCTTAGGGGGAGGGTGCAGTCCACAAAGAAGCAATACTATGGGGTAGATAATAAAGCTAATTCAGAAGAAACCCAAATGCTAGTATGCCAATCTAACCTCAAATAAAAGCATCACCTCACTAATAACCTGGAAAAAGAAACAGAACAACTCAAGAAAGGGGAACGGGCATTATGAAGGACAGCTGGTGGCTGGTTATCAGCATTTCCAAGTAAAGCCTGTCTGGCATATGGTTAATAGCTCCACAAGCAACAGAACTGGAACAGTGACGATGTGGTCTGCTAAAAGACTCTAGAACACACAGACTCCCTTTACATGGCCTCAAGATATTCCTTTGGACTTGCGCAACCAAAGTGAACAGCATTTGCTGAAGTAAACATTGATGCATACAATAAACACAAAAGTTCACAAGCAGAATCGCTGTAATAAGTAAAATTTGTTTTTCACCCAGGCAAACAAAACCCTCTCAACTCTTTGCCAACATTCCACTCTCTAAAGCTATTTAATAGGCCAGTGGACAGCAATGAAGAAATCATTAATACATCCTGGTTGAAAGTATTCATCGTGTTCACCACTTTATCTTTTAACACCCTTTCAGATGAGCTTTACACTCCAAAATAACTAGATGGACAAAATAATAGCAAACTTACTTTTATCAGGGTTCATACACATTTTTTACTACTAAAATTCTGACTTTTCCAAGACTTTCAAGTAAATTTACATGATCTAATGTTTCATGCAATGCCTACTAGTCAGGGGACGATAACCGTTTTTAAGGTATACCGTGGTTTGGAAAAGTCAATGTTGTAAAAAGAATATTTTCTATAATACCGCTCCTAAGGTATGTGTAAGCTTTTTTATTTACATTTTTATTAATTTGTATTTTTTTTAGTACAACAGTATCTTAGCAGAAAAAATATATACAAAGATCTCATTTTAAATAGTAAGGAAATCTGCATTATTGAAACTAACGAAGACAGCGGAAGTCAATTATTCATCGTAATTATTTTTACCTATTTTGGGTGTTTACTGCTCCAAAATATTGTAAACTAAAGATATTGTGTTCAATATAGTTTTCGTTTTTTACCCAGACATTAAAAAATAGTATATTTTAGAGCAGTGAGCACAATAACCGTGATACTGTGAAATTGTGATATTTTATCCAAGGTTATCATACCGTCAGAATCTAATACCAGCCCATGCCTAATGTCTACAAATGTGTAGTAAAAGAAAACCAACATGGTTAAATTTATTACAGCATATCATAAAACACGCAAAAATCTATTTAGTTTTAATTTATATTCATATCTAGGTAAAATTGAATTATGTAACGCTTACACAGTACTAATAATTTGAAAGTATGTGATTGGCCAAGGACAGAAAATCAGTAATTAACCTATAGTCAAGTATATACATACCTGTTTTCCATGACTTTTCCAAAACTTCTTGTGTTTTTCTATTTGTCCAAAACTTCTTCAGACATGGAAAATGCCATGTCAAAATTCCATGACCGTATGAACCCTGTTTTATGCAAATCACCTCATGCCTAATTTATAACAAGACTATTAGCAAGACCTCTATAATAAAGACAAAACTTCTGGAGCAGGATTTTTTTATGATGAATCCATTAATTTTTTGACAAAATAGTGTTATAATATGATGCATTCTCAGAAAAGCATTGATGTTTAGTTGTCACATTATATACAGAACCTTGGCAGGTTATTATGACCACTGCCAGTTTCTTTCTTTAATTTTTTGGCCATTATCAGTCTTACCAACTAGAGATTACATTATATCAGCCAAGGCAGTGAAAGCTGTGCTTAACTATTCAAATACAACCAACCCAAAGGCCATAATTACAAATACCCACTGCTACTTTGCCTATTACTGAGGTTTAAAGTGTCTATGTCATGTTGAGTTTAAGCCACACAAACTGGTCCAGTGGCTGAAGAGGAGGGTCCTGGATGAAAGAGGTGGACCATTTAAATCCGCCGAAGTGTGTGAAATCCCAAAAGAAGGGCTGGTCAAGGTCAGGAGGGGTCAAATTCCTCAGGAAAATGCAAAAGAATGGAGAGGGAGGGGGATGAAAGGAACGCAGACACTTCTGCATGATTTTGAGGAATGTTGCGGCCTTCCCTGCCTCGGAGGACAAGGCTTTTGGTGCGTGTAAGCTTGTTCCCACATTCCCACTTGAGATTAAATCACACCGTCTGTTGAATGGTAAACAGTGCATCTAGTAAACTGCTTCATTTTACAGTGTATTACTAAATAACACACTCTAAAACATTCAGAAAAGATCACAAAGATGCAGACTCAAGACAAAAGTTGCATCTGTTGGTGTTTAAGTCTAGATAAAGATCTACGCCAACACCTTTCCAAAGGTCTGTAAGAGAATGGAGGGTTTGGGTTGAAAGAATTTGCATTTTGACTTGTGCAAGGGTGTGTGTGTGTGTGTGGCTGACTGACCGAGCAAGCACACTGGGTGGCATTTGTCTTCTATTTCAGCTCCAAAGACATCTGCAGCTAGCCATTCTTTTGAGTTATGAAAGAACTGGCCAACACAAAGCTGTGGCATCCCATTCACAGGTGCTTCAGTGGGTGATTCCATAATGAACAGATGGAAAAGCAAACCTCGTGGACTGAACCATCATATAGTGGAATGAATCCAGTCTAATCAAACGAGCTTAAAACAAAAACCCTGCAGGCAAAAACTGTCACATGAAAGCCAATGCTACTCAATAGGCCATTCAACAAACAAAAATGTGTACTAGTTTAAACTGGTTTAGTGCCAAAGCCAGAAAATTACTCTCTTAAATACATTAAGGTTACACACAAACATACATTAACATACACAAATCACAACTACACGAAATTCTTCCTTGTTCAAGTTTATTTGAGGTGCGCGCGCGCAATGTTAAATCCGAGTAAAACTCAGCAGGTTTAGCATTTAAGCTACAAATAATACTCTTAAAAACAATTCTGTTGAACACATAAGGTTTGGCCTAACGTTAACTTAAAAGCTTTTGTTGCTTCAACATGTCTGTTGACAACGCTAACGTTTTAGCAAACTCTCTTATAAGCTTTATAAAGCGAAGTTTGGTTGATTACAAAAAAAAAAACGAGTTGGCTCGATAGTTGTTTAACTCAATTTGATTTTGGTTAAAATTCACACGATAACGTTACTCACCGATTCAGCGAAAACAGCAGCAGCCGCCGACAAAACCAACATGAGGTAAACTTTCAACATCTTCTCTTCAATACAAGTAGCCCGAGTGAATAAAGTTGTCCGTTTCGTAAAGAATAACTTCTGTAACGTATATAGAAATAAACCGCTCCTGGTTTCTTTAATCCTTTTGTGTTCGATTTGTTGAGACGTTTTAACGCGAACTTCTTGCTGCTGTCCTCTGTGTTAATACGCAGTATTCCTGTATAATGATTGATCGCCTTTGGTTTTATTCAACCCCTCTCCAACTCCGCCTATCCTTCTAACGCAGCCAATCCCGGTTGTGTGACGTAACTTACGGAAACTCCAGACCGGACGCAACAGGTTTACTGCGAGACCGAGAAAAATGTAAACAGTTGAAATGCGCGATGACTAAAATAGTTTTTAGCCTTTTAAATTTTTTATTCAAACTGTTGTTTCTTGACTTATCTCTTCTCAATATAATATCAGATTATTTTGACAGTTTCACGTCTTGTTATTAACGAAAATAGCTGAACAATATAAAAACCCACAGTTAGGCTAATGACTAGTTACCATTTTGAGGAAGCATTAAGAAGAGTTGGGGAAGAAATAATGCATTAGTTCGTGGAAAGTTTCAACGACGTAAGCTTCCAGGACTTTTTGAACGTGCTTTCCTCCGCTTTCCCTTAGGGTGGAAAACGAAAACCACAATGATTTTAGATGCCATTCATGATAACAAACAAAAGCTTTCATTCATTAAAACTCCCCACATTAGCATTGACGAACTAACAAAGATGGTTGGTTGTTTTAGTTGGTTTAGCATATATTTGATTCTCATGTCTGTATGAAAATTAACCATGGTTTTATTACAGTAAAAGTGTAGTAAACATGCCATTATGCAGCCTATTGAGTACCATTACAGTTACACTGCAAACACCATGACTAAATTGTTAAGTGCAGCATGTTTAAAAAAAATATTATGTGTAGTAAAATCCATGATTTTCATAAGGTCTGTTTTATTTTATCTGATCTCTCAAGTGACAAAACACTAAGCGAACTGATGCTGGAAAGACCACCTAAGTCTAGCAGACCACACTGGTTTATAGTGTGTTTGTTTTTTATTCATACTTTTCTTGTTGTCATAAACCCATCAAGAAATGTCAGTTACATCAGGGTGGTGTTGCATTAAAGGTTGTCATTTCCCCTAAAAGGTGTCAGTTTGAAGATCTTCCAGTCACAGTAACTGGCAAATGTCTAACCTTTCCCGTTTTTAATGCAACAACTGTATTCTGGCATGACTTTGAACTTGAAACCACTTTCACATGTCACAACATGATATTGTTCGTAAAACAAAACTTTACTCACGGTTTCACATTTAATTAATGTCATTTCTTTGAAAGAGACCCATCACAGGAATTATAATTAGCAATTTTTATAAAGTAGGCTAATCATCTCAGCAGCACCCCTAATCATCAGCTATTAAAGAGGTTAAAGTGTGGTTTAAGGGTGCAATCACTACTGGTTTAATTAAAAGTAACACTAAAACTAGTTACCGTGGTTCAACTGAATAAGTGTGACACTGATATATTTGAACCCTGGTGTGAAACAAGTAATATATTATAGATCTCAGTCCACTTACAAATAAACCCTGATGCAGATTACCTGAAATATAAACACAAAACAGACCAAATACATACCAAAAAGAGGACATGATGTGACCCTATAAATGTGACTGAATGCTCAACCAAATCTGTTTTCATTCATAGTTGTGAAATTATTGATAAAACTGACAAAAATAAGTCCTCTTTCAGTCGATATTAGTTTTATATGTGTACCAGAAGAATTCCTGGCACTGTTTTGACTTGTTTTAGCAATTATAAGTATATTACAAGTTATTTAAACATCATCACATGTATGCAACACCAAGAACTACGTTTTGCTCATCAAATAACATTGTTCTGTTTGATAAGTTTCACTGCAAATTCATAAACGCTGCATGTTTTATTTAATTTTTATTTTTAAATTCAGTTTTTTGTTACACTTTTTCAATGTTAGTCAGTGTGTAGTGTGTATATAAAAACTGAAAGACCACCCCAAAGAAAGACTAAAAGTTTCCTTTCAAGAACTACAGGGAATGGCTTGTTTGGACTGCGTGTTAATGTTAAAACAAATTTCAACATCAGCACTCTGATATGTCTTGCTATATCAGTGCATGCAAATATTCTGTGCGATCCTCTTGACCAATACTCATTCATTCATTTTGTTTTCGGCTTAGTCCCTTTATTAATCTGGGGTCGCCACAGCGGTATGAACTGCCAACTTATTCAGCACATGTTCGACGCAGCGGATGCCCTTCCAGCCGCAACCCATCTCTAGGAAACATCCACACACTCATTCACACTCATACACTATGGACAATTTTGCCTATTCAATTCACCTGTACCAAATATCTTTGGATTGTGGCGGAAACCGGAGCACCCGGAGAAACCCACGTGAACACAGGGAGAACATGCAAACTCTGCACAGAAACGCCAACTGACCCAGCCGAGGCTTGAACCAGTTGACCTTCTTGCTTTGAGGTGACAGCACTACCTACTGAGCCTAAATCTATTACATTGTGAAAAATTTGATATTCATTCATTCATTTTCCTTCGGCTTCCTTATTTATCAGGGGTCGCCACAGCGGAATGAACCACCAACAATTGTAGAGTGTGTTTTACATAGTGGATGCCCTTCCAGCCGCAATCCAGCACTGGGAAACACCCGTACACTTTTGCATTCACACACACTCATACACTATGGCCAATTAAGTTTGTCCAATTCAACTATTGCACATGGTTTTGAACTGTGGTGAAAATCGGAGCACCCAAAGGAAACCCACGCCAACATGGGGAGAACATGCAAACTCCACACATAAGTGCTAACTGGCCAAGCCAGGGACCTTCTTGCTGTGAGGCAACAGTGCTAACCACTGAGCCAATGTGCCAAACCATTGAAAGTATATTCTATTAAATCCACTTATTTTACGCTTATCATCAAATATAATTAAATATTAAGTGTCTGAAAAATCTGCATTGTTTTAAGGCTTACATTAGTTGGTCCATTGTGGACTCTGTTAAACAACAAGAGATTATTAACTAAAATTATTGCTTTTTGTTTTGCAAATACATCACTAAAACGACTACAAACTAGTAAAACTGATCCGGGATCAGGTAAAACCAATGTAACCTGTTCAGTGATTTACCACTGGGAGCCACTCTGACTGAACCCATGTGATTCAAGATTTAAATCGATCCCCCAACTGAGAGCCATTGAATTTTCTAAATATTTCAAACCTGCAATGATATTCCAAAGCCCTGTATTTTTAAATCATGCAATTTTGCCAATTTGATTTCCCAAACACTGAAGCAAATGGTTTGTAAAGATTTCAAAGTGCTTTAAAAGCAGCCATCACTATGTTCAACAGAGGAAAGATAATCATTAAAGTTTAGAACCTCTTAAGTGTGAGCAAATGTTGAGGAATTTGCCTTTTTTGGGTGAACTGTCTCTGTAATTGTTAATTTATTTGTTTTCCTTTGGCTTAGTTCCTTTATTCATAAGGGGACGCCACAGCGGAATGAACCACCAACTTATCCAGCATATGTTGTACACAGCGGATGCCCTTCCAGCCGCAAACCAGCACTGTGAAACATTCATACACTCTCACATTCACACACACACACACTTATACACTACAGCTAATTTAGTTCATTCAATTCACCCATAGCACGTCTTTGAACCAGGGCACCTGGAGGAAACTCACGCCAACATGAGGAGAACATGCAATCTCCACACAGAGATGCCAACTGGACTCGAACCAGCAACCTTCGTGTTGCGAGCCACTGTGTCGCCCACTTTAATTAAACATACATGATTTTAGAAACAGAACCTCCAATCTAAATATCCACATCCATAAATTTCTACATAAATTCTCTTCATATGTTTAGAAACAACAAATCCCCTGTTGAAAATCATCTTTATCCTCTGAGAAATCTTCCAGCATTAAGATTTCTTGCGAGGTTTGATTACTTGTGCAATGGTGGAGATCTCAAAGTTGTTTAAATGTAGCAGCTGTATATCTGAGCTTGTGCTCATGAGCTCTCAGACTCTTCTGTATTATGAAGCGAGAGAAGAATCTGGCCTGATTTCAGCCCTGATTTGTTTAGTCTGAGTCTAGAGCTCATTTAAAACAACCTAATGGAAGTGTCCAGAGAAAATGCAAGAGATGAACACAATTTTTGAAAGATGCTATTTGCCTTAGATTAAAGGCATAGGTCACCTACAAAAGATTTACTCACAATTTACTCAACCTCAAGTGGTTTCAAACCTCAAGTGGTTTTCACCTTCATGAGTTTCTTCTTTTAAACAATAAATCATATTTTTAAGAATGTTGAAAACCTGTAACCATTGACTTCTGTAGTAGGAAAAGTAAATACCAAGGATGTCAATGGTTACAGGTTTCCATTCAATCATTCATTTTCTTTTCAGCTTAGTCCCTTTATTAATCAAGGGTCGCCACAGTGGAATGAACGGACAACTTATCCAGCTTATGTTTTTACGCAGTGGATGCCTTTCAAGGCGGGAAACAACACTGGGAAACACCCATACACTCTTGCATTCACACGCACTCATGCACTATGGCCAATTTAGCTCATTCAATTCACCTGTACCGCATGTCTTTGGACTGTGGGGGGAATCCGGAGCACCTGGAGAAAACCCACATGAACTCAGAGAGAACATGCAAACTCCACGAAGAAATACCAATTGACCCAGCCCGGACTCAAACCAGCGACCTTCTTGCTGTGAGGCAATTGTGCTACCCACTGCTCCATCATGAGGCCTACAGGTTTCCAGCATTTTTCTAAATATTTTCTTTTGTGTTTCTGAAGGAAAAAACTCATAAGTGAAGTTTATTCATAAACTAATTTCGAGAGGAGCACGTGATTATGATTGAACACGGCTGGTTCTGCATTAGCATGCTTGATCCACCAATCAGGCCATTCCTAACCACTATAAAGAGCCAGGGTTTTCTCACTACAGTCATCTTCGATTTGAAGAGTCCCCCCTTCCACCCC